AACACCCATCTCCCACAAGCCACCATGCCCCAGCTTGGCCACATGTCCCCAAGGGTCACCATGTCCCAGCCTAGCCACATGGCCCCTATGAGAGTCATCATGTCCCAGCCTGGCCATGTGTCCCCATGGGCCATGTGTCCCTTCCGGGCCACCCAAGCCCAACGCAACCTCCCCCCTGCACCCTGGAGTCCCCAAAGTGGCAGGACCAGGACGGGGACACAGACCCCCCACCCTGGTCCCCTCCACTGCAATTAGCAGTGGCCCCGCCGGGGCAGAGCACTAATTAGGCCGTTCCATAACGAGCGCCGAGCACAGGGACGAAGGGGAGGGGAAGGAGAGGGAGGGCGGCGGGATGTGGTGCCTCCACCCTGCACCCAGCACCCGTATCCTGCACCCAGCACCCATATCCTGCACCCTGTGTCCATATCCTACACCCTGCACCCATATCCTGCACGCTGTGTCCATATCCTGCACCCAGCACCCATATCCTGCACCCTGTGGCTCTATCCTGCACCCATATCCTGCACCCTGAGGCTATATCCTGCACCCTGCACTAATATCCTACACCCAGCACCCACATCCTGCACCCAGCACCCATATCCTGCACCCTGCGTCCATATCCTGCACCCCGTGTCCATATCCTGCACCCTGAACCCATATCCTGCACCCGCATCCTGCACTCTGTGCCCATATAATGCACCCAGCACCTATATCCTGCGCCCAGCACCCATATCCTCCACCCTGTGCCCATATCCTACACCCTGAGCCCACATTCTGCGCCCCTATCCTGCACCTAGCACCTGTATCCTGCACCCTGCACTCATATTCTGCACCCCGTGCCCATATCCTGCATCCCATGTCCCAGCAGCACCCATGGGTGCCGCCACCTACCCGTGACCAGGTCGAAGCAGGTGGTGTGGAACTTGCCCATGTAAAACTCCAGCCCGATGATGGCGAAGATGAGGATGGCGAAGAAGAGCAGGAGGCCGATCTGCAGCAGGGGGATCATCGCCTTCATGATGGACTTGAGGACCACCTGGAGACCTGTCCAGGGCGGGTGATGCGTCAGTGGGGGACATGGGGACACGGTGACGTGGGGACGGGGGACACGAGGACGCGGGACTCACTTGGGATGCCCGAGACGAGCTTGAGCGGGCGCAGCACGCGGACGGCGCGCAGCGTGCGCAGGTCGAACTGGGAGCCCACCGTGGCCAGGATGCTGTGGGGAGAGGGGTCAGGGCGGCCACCAGCGGCCACATGTGTCCCCAAGGCCACCAGGAGCCACCTGGCCACCAGGGGATGTTCTACTATGGCCCAGTCTGGCCATATGGACCATGCCACCATGGCCACCAAGAGGTATCGTGGCCCTATCTGGTCATATGGCCACCACATGCTATGCCACCATGGCCACCAAGAGCCACCATGGCCCTATCTGGTCATATGGCCACCACACACTGTACCATAGCCACCAGGTGCCACCCCATCCCAGTCACAAGGTGTCCACAAGGGCCATCACATCCCAGTGCGGCCACATGTCCCCTGTGGGGACCTCCAATCCCAGCCTGGCCATGCACCCGCATAGGCCACCACGTCCCAGCTTGGCCACATGTCCCCAAGTGCCACCACATCCCAGCATCTCCATGGGCCACCATGTCCCATCCCGCTCCTGCATCCCCATGGGCCCGGCATGGGATGCTGGGGCACCCATGGGTGCTGCCAGAGCATCCAGCGGCCCCGGTACCCAGGACCGCCAGCGCCAGAGGGGGCCCAGGCGTCCGGGAGCACCTGCGCCAGCCGAGGGTCCCTTCCCATCCTGCGGTCACCATGGCAACCGGCCGTTCCCATTCACAGTCGCCACGGTTACCCTCGGTGTTCATTCATGCCCGTTGCCGTGGCAACAGCCCGGCTCATTGATACAATCTACGCACCGGGTGAGGGGGGGCAACCGTTCCACGCCACCCCCTGGCCCAGTGGGGGCACCCATGGGAGACACGGGGTGCTGGGTGTGGGGCGCAAGGGGAAGGGTGCAGAGCACAGGATGCAAAGAACAGGGTGCAGTGCATGGGGTGCAGGGTGCAATGCACGGGGTGCAGGGTGCAATGCACGGGGTGCACAATGCGATGAACAGGGTGCAGGGTGGAATTAACTGGGTGCAATGCACGGGGTGCAGGGTGCAATGAACAGGGTGCAATGCATGGGGTGCAGGGTGCAATAAACGGGATGCAATGCACAGGGTGCAGGGGCCAGCGTGCAATGCACAGGGTGCAATGCATGGGGTGCAGGGTGCAATAAACGGGATGCAATGCACAGGGTGCAGGGGCCAGCGTGCAATGCACAGGGTGCAATGCATGGGGTGCAGGGTGCAATAAACGGGATGCAATGCACAGGGTGCAGGGGCCAGCGTGCAATGCACAGGGTGCAATGCATGGGGTGCAGGGTGCAATAAACGGGATGCAATGCACAGGGTGCAGGGGCCAGCGTGCAATGCACAGGGTGCAATGCATGGGGTGCAGGGTGCAATAAACGGGATGCAATGCACAGGGTGCAGGGGCCAGCGTGCAATGCACAGGGTGCAATGCATGGGGTGCAGGGTGCAATAAACGGGATGCAATGCACAGGGTGCAGGGGCCAGCGTGCAATGCACAGGGTGCAATGCATGGGGTGCAGGGTGCAATAAACGGGATGCAATGCACAGGGTGCAGGGGCCAGCGTGCAATGCACAGGGTGCAATGCATGGGGTGCAGGGTGCAATAAACGGGATGCAATGCACAGGGTGCAGGGGCCAGCGTGCAATGCACAGGGTGCAATGCATGGGGTGCTGGGTGCAATGCATGGGGTGCAATGCACACGGTGCTGGGTGCAATGAACAGGGTGCAGGGTCCAGGGTGCAATCTGCACAAGCAAGCAGGGCGCCTAGTGCAGGATGCACGGAGAAGCCAAATCCCGGGAGCCCCCCACCGGGCCGCGGGCCGGGGAGCCGGAGGCGGGTGACACCGCGGAGCCAGCAAATATTGTGACAGCGCCAAGCGACAGAGCCCCGGGGAGCGGGACGGCAAAGTGGCAATTAGCGTCTCGGGCTGGCGCGCTCGCATGCGCGCTCTGCGGGGACGAGCGTGCAGATGGGCTGCAAAGAGAGGTGCCAGTGCGCGGCCTTGCGTGGGGTGCTGCTAATGGGGAGAGTGTACCCCAAACCTTCAGACACACACGGGTGCAAGGGAGCTTTTGGGCACGCGTGTGCGTGTGTGCCAAGTTTGCATGTGCACTGAGCTTGCAAGTGCATCCCGTTTGCGTGTGCACCAAGCTAACGCATGCGCCGAGCTTGCACCCATGCAAGCAAGCACGGCCCGTGCATGGCTTGCCAATGCACACGCGCGTGTGTGCACCAAGCTTGCACGTGCACCGAGTTTGCACCTGCGTGTGAGCGCGCTTGCAGGCGTGTGCGCTGAGCTTGCACCTGCACCGAGCTTGCGGATATGCATGTGGCCCCATTGCACCCACGCAAGCACGGCTTGCTGAGGCACGCACACATGTGTGCACCGAGCTTGCACGTGCACCGAGCTTGCACCTACGCCGAGTTTGCACCTGCACCGAGTTTGCACCTGCGCCGAACTTGCACCTGCAGTGAGCTTGCACCTGCAGTGAGCTTGCACCTGCACCAAGCTTGCACCTGCAGTAAGCTTGCACCTGCACCAAGCTTGCAGACATGCGCATGGCTCCATTGCACCCATGCAAGTGTGCGCAGCCTGCACCCGGCTTATCAAGACCCCGTGCGCTTCCAAGCGCGCCCTGCTCACCCTGTGAGCACCACCACGAAGTCCATGACATTCCAGCCGTTGCGCAGGTAGGAGCCCTTGTGGAAGGCGAAGCCCAGCGCGATGATCTTGATGCCGGCCTCGAAGCAGAAGATGCCGATGAAATAGGGCTCCGTGTCGTCCTGGGGACACGGGGACACGCGGGGAGCGACGTGAGGCCGGCGGCCGCGTCCCCGCGCGCGTCCCCGGGCGCCGCGCGCTCACCAGCCGCTCCGCCATGGGCGTCTTGTCCTCGTCAGGCAGGTGCTGCTCCAGCGCCAGCACGATGCAGTTGGCGATGATGGTGGCCAGGATCATGTACTCGAAGGGAGTGCGCCGGCGTCAAGGAAGCATCCCGATCCATCCTCCGTATCCCGCCCCTTCCCGATGGCAAAGCAATGCAAGGAAGGATGCTGATGGGTCAGAGGGGCCCGGGTGTCCAGGCTGCACCCGGCAGCGGCAGGATTGAGGAAGGGGAATGAGCTCCTGGGATCCCTGCAGCTCCCGGGATCTCCGCGGTTCCCGGGATGCTGGCGACTCTCGGCTCCTTAATCCGCCTTCAAAGGCGGCCGGCCGGGGGCTCG